GGAGGAGGAGGAGGAGGAGGAGGAGGAGGAGGAGGCGGAGGAGGAGGAGGCGTGGCCGCCGCCGTCGTGGCCGCCGCCGTCGTCGGCGTCACCGAGGGAGGGCGGCGGGGCCTCGGAGCCGGCGGGGGTCCTGCGCGGCACACCGTGGGGGCCCTCCGAGGCGCATGGGGAGGCCGCCGCCCGCGCCCCGGGAGGGCTGGGCGACGCCTCGACAGTCGAGGTGACAATAAAGATTACGCCAGAGAGAAATCGCAACCAGGAACCCCGGAACCCGGAATCAGGAACCCGGGAACCCGGAACCGGGAAGCCGGGAAACTAGCCGGCTACCAACATCGGCGGGAAACTTTCGCCAAAGCTTTCGATTTCCGCTAGGACCCCTTCAGTGCGAGCACTGATTGGGCAGCAACGCAACGCCCAGATCTCAGGGTGGCCGAAGACCATGGTGCCTCCGCAGGGGTGAGTCTTCCTAATCTGTGGCCCCACAGGTCCAGACCCTTCTCCGCTGGGCCCCCGGGGGGCCCGATGACACGAGCTTCCGAAGGCCGAAACATCTGGGAAGCGCCGCCAGGATTGCGATCGTTTCCTTATTCGTGGTTTTGCCGATCGGCGCGGGCCCCCAAATCCCCCCCCATGGAGTAGATCTTGGCTGTTTTTTGGGGCGCCTGCCTCGAGCAGGTGAGTCTCCCCTCATAGGACCCACTGCTGCAAACAGTCGCACTAAGCAGAGGTCCAGAGCCAGACCCCTCCCCCCTCCCCTCCCCCTTCCGCCCAATGTCGAAACGCCGAATAAAAGAACGCTCACTAGGAAGCACCACCAGGATTGGAAACATCACATCGCGGGAGATCTGGGCGAACATCGGCGGCGAGCGAGTGGGGGAAGTGAGAGGGAGAGAAGGCCTTGCCAGGAGGCGGCGGGGCTTCTCAGAACCCCTCCCGCGCGCCTTCCGAGGAGTTGTCGCTGCCCGCTGCCTTCGGGGAATGTTCAGAGCACTTCTCGGAAGGCTGGGGGGCTTCCGAGCCTTCTCTGGGAAGGCCCGCCCCTACTCCCTTCCCCCCCCCGGGGCTCGCCGCCGAAAGAAGGTGGAGCTCTTCGGGGACGACGCCAACATCTCCCTCCGGGCCACGCGGCCAGTCGGGGCTGGCGAGCTGCTTGTGGGCGTGGCCCTGGACTGCGCGCTGCACCCCCGCTCCGAGGCCGTGGGGGCGGCCGAGAGGTCTTGGGCCTCCCAACCGGGGTCGAAGCACAGTGGGGGTCGGAGGTTCGCGCCGCATCGATGATGCATCGCCGATGCGGCTCGATGTGGAGTTCGATTTTCTCCACGCCGACCCCCTCTGCTCGGAGCCCACTTGCCCGCAGACCTCTGGCGACTCGAGCCGAGTCGAGAATGCTGGCTCCTCCTCGATCTGGACTACGAAGATCCCCTGCGTCATGGCGCCCAGCCCCTAACAGCTAAAAAGGTCTGTGACCGAAAACAGAGGTGACCGAAACGTGCCCGAGAGAATAATCGAACTAGCAGTGTGACCGAAGTTGTTACCGACATTGGACATCGCACTGGCTTCGAACAAAACATTTCGGTCACATTCTGGCGTGGTTGGGAAGGTTCGGGCGCCAGTTTCGGTCACACTCGGCGCAGCGTCTGTATCAGTACACCCTCCCGACGCAGACGAGGCTGCGCGACCTGTGCGGCTATGCCGTCCGACCCAACAGTGGAGCCGCAGCGCCGCCGCTGCCTTGGGGCCCGCTTCGACCCGGTCGATCCGATACGACATCGACTCGGGCACGATTCGATCCGATTCCGATTTTCGAAGGAGTCCATTTGATCTCCTACAGAATCCCATTGATTTCTTAAGGATTCCCGTGGTTTTTCTCAGGAGCCATATAGATTTCTGAAGAACCAGCGCGTTCTGTGGTCGTTTGGAGGGGGGTGGGGGGGGTTGGAACCTGACCCCCCCCACCCTGGACGGAGGGGGGCGGTTTGGACCCCCCCCCTCTTCCCGTGACGGAGGGGGGGGGGTTCGAACCCCCCCATTTCTCCTCTCTCCCTCTCCTCGGGCTGGCGCCTGCGTCGGCGGCGGCTGGCGGCGGCGGCGGGGACGACGATTTCTTTTCCTGGGCCGGCGCTGGCGCCTGCGGCGGTGGGCGGCGGCGGCGGGGAGCGTCGACGAGGACGACTGGTGGTGGTGGTGGTGGTGGTGGGTTGTGGTGGTGGTGGTGGTGGTGGTGGTGGCGTGGCGGTTGTGGTGGTTGTGGTGGTGGCGGTGTGGTGGGTTTGTTGTGGTGGTGGTTGTGGTGGGGGTGGTGGTGGTGGTGGTGGTGTGGTTTGGTGGTGGTGTGGTGGTGGTTTGTGGTGGTGGTGGTGGTGGTGGTGGGGTGTGGTGGTGGTGGTTTGGTGTGGTGTGGTGGTGGTGTGGTGGTGGTTTGGTGGTTGCGGTGGTGTGGTGGTTTGGATGGTGGCGGTGTGGTGGAGGTGGTGCTGGTGGTGGTGGTGGTGGGTGCTGTGGTGTGGTTTGTGTGGTGGGGTGGGTTGTGCTGGTGGTGGTGCTGGATGTGGCGGTGGGGTGGTGGTGGTGGTGGTGGTGTGGTAGATTTGGGTGGTGGTGGTGGTGGGAGTGGTGGTAGGTGTTTGTGGTGGTGATGGTGATGGTGAGTTGTGGTGGTGGTGGTGGTTGTGGTGGTGGTGGCGGCTGTGGTGGTGGTGGTGGTTGTGTGGTGGGTTGTTGGTGGTGGTGGGCTGAGCCGGTGGTGGTGGTGGTGGTAGCGGTGGTGGTGGTGGTGGTGGTAGCGTCATCGCCGTCGGCGCTGCTGGCGGCCGCCAGCGTCGGCGCCAGCGCTGGCTCCGAGGGGTGGCGGGGGGTTTGAACCCCCCCCCTTGGGAGGGGCATGGGGGTTCGGGAGGGGGGGGGTTGGGGAGGAGGGGGGTCCCCCTGGTTTTGATCGACGGCGCCGAGTGTTGGGGGGGCCCCCCCCCCGGTTCGAAACGCGCCGCCGAACGTTCCCAAGGCAAGCGCCGGTGAAACGCGTTCTCTGTTTCTTAAAGGACGCCCATGGTTCTCTGACGGAATCCAATGGATTTCCGCGATTTGGTGCGGCCCAATGCTTGCATGGCGCTGTAGAGCACTCTGGCGCCGCCGATCCGATTCGACTCAGGCTCCGAGCCGATGCGGTCCGATTCGGTACACGTGCCGGTCCGATCCGCTTTCCAAATGCGAAGCTGACGGATCCTGCCGCCGAGGCATCGGCGACGCATCGGCTACGCATCGGCGCTGCGGCGCGAGCCTCCGACCCTAGCTGTGGTCGGAGCGCACCTGAGAGGCCTCTCCTTCGAGGTCCAAGGTTGACGCGGCGGCCGCAGCGCTGCGCTCGGCGGCGGCGTGGAGGACGCCGCTGCTGGACGCCAGAGGAGAACATATCATGCCTCTGCAAGTGCTCAGCCACGCGCAGAGGAGGGGTAGGGGGAGGGAGGGACTGCTTCTCAGAAGCACCCCTGCTACTTAGAGGGCGCGCGCCTGTCTGCATGTGAGGCCCGCGCCTTTTGAGGAGCAGCCTCCTTCCAAGAAGCCTTCCCCCCTCCTCCCCCCCTTTGCGCGCCGCCAAAGCACGGTCAGCGTCCACGTCGTGGGGGGTAGGGATCGGCTCTGGAGACTCGACCCTCGAGGCTCAGCTCGAGGTCCTTGGGAGTTTCGCATCCTCTCTGCGCCGCTGCGGGGGGGTTCCTCGTCGCCAGTGCTGGATTTGCCGCGAGCTCCTGTTCAGAGGGCGCCCCGGGAGGGGTCCGGGGAGTAGCGAGTAGCAGTATCGGTGGTTTTTCGTCCCCATAGCTTACCAGTTTGAAACATATCCCTATCCCTGTGTTTGGCAACACCTCACTTCGATGCCGATCTTGAGGAATCCCTCAGTTTCTGAGGTCACACCCGTAAGATTGTCCTCGCTTTTTGCTCTCCCATCTTAGGGTTAGGGATCAGTTCGAGGCTGATTACCAGTGTCTCGTCGACGCGGCGGCCTCCTCAGCGTGGGCGTTAAAGAGGTTGAGCGCCTCCAGTTGAGCGACGCAACAATATGGGGTCGTCTTCGCCGACGTTGGCGCGTAAGCCGCCCGCGTAAGGTCGCGCGTGAGCCCTCGTCTCCATAGCGGCGTGCCGCGCCGGCGGCCCGCGTAAGCCGCCGCGTACGGTCGCTACGTCATCTCGCGTAAGACCCGTTTTTGATCGTCGCTCACTTATGCAGAAGCGAAGAAGAAACAAACACATAAACATACACTTTTGGCGCTCCGCGCGGATTTCTTGGATTCGCGCTGGACCCCCCCATGGCGCCTCCGGCGCGGAAATCTAGGATCCATCCCCAACAAACATTACCATCGACGCGGAAATCTAGGATCCTCTCACCCCTGTGGAGGCAACCCCCTGTGTTGGTTTTTTGGGGCCCATGTCCGGGCCTAAAGAATTCCAGTTGCTTTACGCACGTGTCGCCCCCCCCCCCCCCCACCCCCACAAACATGCCCTCACCGTTTGTTTCTGCCCACCCAGGACGCGGCCGTGGAGGGCCGGGCAGAGCTCGTGGCGCTGCTGGCTCGCGAGCTGCTGGCCGGTCGGGCCTCGCAGTGGTGGCCCTACTTGCGGACGCTCCCGGCCGGAGGGCGATGCCGCGCCGACGGTGCTGGCGACGGTGGGCCATGGTTGATGGGCCTGTTTTCCACCACCACCACCATAATCTGCAGGGGGGAGGGGGTCCTCCTCCTCCACCTCCTCCTCCTCCTCCTCTTCGTCCTCCTCTTCGTCCTCCTCCTCCTCGTCCTCCACCTCCTTCCCCCCTCCAACTTATTGTGGTGATGGTGGAAAACAGGCCCATCAATGCTGGCGACGGTGAGGAGGAGGCTGCTGTCGTTGACGGTGGTGATGATGGTGGTGCTGCTGCTGACGAGACTGCTGATGGTGATTGTGATGGTGAGGGTGATGATGATGCTGCTGCTATTTTTGTTGCTGATGATGACGATGCTGATGATGATAAGGGTGGCGATGATGATAATGATGATGATGCTGATGCTGATGATGCTGATGATGCTGATGATGATGATAATGCTGCTGCTGATGATACTGATGATGAGGATGCTGACGATGATGATGTTGCTGATGCTGATGATGATGACGATGGTGATGATGATGGTTCTGTTGCTGATGAGGATGTTGATAACGATGGTGATGCTGATGATGATGATGCTGCTGATGATTTTGTTGATGATTGTGATGCTGAGGATGAAGATGATGATGCTGATGGTGGTGATGAGGATGATGGTCATGATGATGATGATGATGATGATGATGATGATGATGATGAGGATGATGATGAGGACGACAACGACGACGAGGAAGGTGGTGGTGAGGAGGCTGCCGAAGATGATAATGATGATGATGATGATGATGATGATGATGATGATGATGATGCTGATGATGATGATGATGATGATGATGATCATGACGGTGACGACGACGATGACGATGACGGTGACGATGACGATGACGATGATGATGATTCTGATGATGATCATGATGATTCTGAGGATGGCAACGACGACGGCGATGATGGTGATGGGGAAGATCATGACCAACTTATATGATGATGCTGATCATCATGGCGATTACGATGACTATGATTCTGATAATAGGGAAGATGCTGCTGATAGGATGAGGATGATACTAATGATGCTGCTGATGATGACGATGACGATGCTGATGATGATGACGATGATGCTGATGACGATGACCATGACGATGACGATGACGATGATGATGATGATGATGATGATGATGATGATGATGATGAAGAAGCTGACGATGATGCTGCTGCTGCTACTGATGATGACGATACCGATGACGATGACGATGAGGATTATGGGGATGGGGGTAATGATGATGGAGATGATTATGAGGAAGATCATTCCGATGCTGATGGTGATGATGCTGCTGATGATGATGATGATGATGATGATGCTGATGATGGCGAAGGCGACTATGGTAATGGTGCAGCTGTTGGTAATTATGACGTCGGTGATGTCGATACTTCGGCTGATGCTGATGTTTATGTGCATGTTGATGTCGATATTGGTATCGATGATGATGCTGATGATGCTGATGATGCTGATGATGCTACTGATGATGATGATGCTGATGATGATGGCGATGATGATGCTGACGATGATGACGGGGATGATGATGATGCTGGTGCTGATGATGATGAGGGTGACGTTCAAGCTGATGATGATGATGATGATGATGATTTTGATGGACATGCTGATGGGGATGCTGACGATGGTGATGATGATGCTGCTGATGATGCTGATGATGATGAAGATGCTGATGATTTCTGATTGGGATGCTGATGCTGCTGTTGCTGCTGATGCTGATTATAATGCCGACGACGATGATGATGCTAATGATGAGATGATGATGATGATGATGTGGATGATGATGCTGATGATGATGATGACGATGATGATGATGCTGCTGATGATGATGATGCTGATGATGATGATGCTGCTGATGATGATGATGGTACTGATACTGATGATACTGATGATGCTGATGATGATGCTGCTGCTGATAAAGCTGCTGCTGATGACGACGACGATGATGAGGACGACGACGATGTCGATGATCATGATGATGCTGTTGATGATGCTGCTGCTGTTGCTGATGTTTGTGGTTATGCTGATGGTGATGATGATGATATTGATGATGATGCTAAGGATGATGTTGATGATGATGATGCTGATGAAGATGATGGTGATGCTGCTAATGATGATGATGGCGAAGGCGACGATGATGCTGATGATGATGCTGAGGATGCTGATGATGCGCATGATGATTATGATTATGCTGCTGATGATGCTGCTGATGATGATGCGCATGATGATTATGATTATGCTGCTGCTGATGATACTGCTGCTGGTGATGATGCTGATGATGCTGATGCTGATGATGGTGATTCTTGTGCTGATGCTGCTGCTGATGATGATGATGGTGACGATGATGATGATGATGATGATGATGATGATGATGATGATGATGCTGATGATGCTGATGCTGATGCTGATTCTGATGATGATGCTGCTGCTGATGATGATGATGTTGATGTTGATGTTGATGATGATGATGATGATGATGATGATGATGATGATGATGATGATGATGATGATGATGATGATGATGATGATGATGATGATGATGATGATGATGATGATGATGATGATGATGATGATGATGATGATGATGATGATGATGATGAGAGGAGGGGAGGAGGAATATGAAGAGAACGAGGGACAGGAGGAGAAAAAGGGTAAGGGAGAAAAAGGAGGAGGACGAGCAGAAGGGTAGGCGGCGGTGGTCGCGGAGGAGGAGGGTAGTAGGAGAGGAGGAGGAGGAGGGTAAGGAGGAAGAAGAGAAGAAGTCGGGAGGAAGAGGGTAAGGGATATTGATGAGAGTAGGAGGAGGAGAGGAGAGTAGAGGAGTACAGGAGGAATTTGGAGGGAGGTGGAGGAGGGAGGAGGAGGAGGAAGGAGAGAGGAGGAAGGAGGGAGAGGAGGAGGGGAGGAAAGGAGGTAGTAGGAAGGTGAAGGAGGAGTAGGCGGAGGGAGGGTGGATGAGGATGCGCTTAAGCGGGAGAGAATGGAGAGGAGGAGGAGGTAGGAGGAGAGGAGGAAGAGGAGGTAGGAGGATTAGGAGGAGGAGGAGGAGGAGGAGGAGGAGGAAAGGAGGTGAGTAGTGAGGAGGAGGAGGAGGAGGAGGAGGAGGAGGAGGAGGAGGAGGTCCGTCCGTTTGTGCGTGAAGCCTGGCTAGGGGCCAGGGCAATCCATCAGCGCTCTGCGCCGGGGACGGCCGTTGCCTGGCGTCCAAGCCACCTAGCATCGGCCATGCCCAGGGGAAGGGATTGCGCTGGCTGGGGCCTCTAGACTCCGCTACCCGGGAGCGCCGCGACGACCGCGAGGACGGTGTAGCAGCGCTTTTAGGGCCTGCCGCCAGCGCCAGCCCGCCGCTGCCTAGCGCCCGGGCCCGCTGCAGCTTCGGGTGCAGGTCCAGGGCGCCCGGCCTAGGTGCCCAGCAGCGAGCGGGCAGCCCCCCCGCCCGCTGCCCAGCTAGCGTCGCTGGCCGCGGTCGTGGCGCCCGCGCGCCTCGCGGCGCCCCGCGTCGTCGCCTCGCCTGGCCGCCGGCGGGTGCAGCGTCAGTGCGCGCCGAGCCAGGGCAGCTGGCTGCCCGTCGCCTGCCGGCACGTTGGCCGCCGCGCTAGTGCCGCGAGCCGCCCGCCGCCTGGCGCGCCGCCTAGCGCAGGCCGACAGCCTTGCGGAGCTGGCGTGCCGTGGCCGCTTGCAGGCCGCAGTTCAGGTGCCTGCGTCATGGGTCGGCTGCGCGCGATGATGAGGCCCATCACTATGAACCTGCCCGAGCAGCCAGAGGCGGGCCTCGGCGCCGAGCCGCCCCCCCGCCTCGAGGACGAAGGGTGTGCACCCGCGCCGCCCTTTGCTTGTCGCTGTTCTTGGCGGCCGCCAGTGGGATCTTCCGCCCGCGCCGGACGGACGTCCGGAGCGCGTCCCATTGGGCCGCCCAGAACCACACGAGGTGTTCTTCCAGCAGCTCTGCGCACGTCGTGGCCTCGTCGCTGGTGCTGAGAAGGAGGAGGAGGAGGAGGAGGAGGAGGAGGAGGAGGAGGAGGAGGAGGTCCAGCGCCAGCTTCCACTCATCCTTCGCCTCCCCGCGTTCCCGGGCGTGCTGCAGGACTTCCACAGACTTCCATCGCACCTGTAGGACGGCGCCGCGTAGCTTGCCTGGGATATGCACGAATGTAGTGGCCCTGGTGCTTATCAGGTCATCCCATGGAAGGCCCGCCAACCAATCCTGGCCAGATATTTCGTTCTCGTCCCAAGCTGGGTTTAAGTCCCTGTCCCTCTACAGGAAGGATGTTCAAAAATAGTCTCAAAATTGTATGGGGACGATTTTTCTAGTATTTTTGAGCATTTTCGGAATCTGTTTTGAGGATGTTTTTCATTTTTGTCGCCCTAAATCCCCCTGTAGGGGGATAGGCCCAACCTCAAGCTGGGTGCTGGATGGGCTGATGCTGCTGCTGCGCCGGCGGCGCGCTTCCAGCTCCGCGGCTCCTGCTCCGTCGATGGAGCTGGAGCCTCGCAGTGCTGCCGTCTGCGTTCGCGCCGCTTCGCGACGCTCGCAGCGTCGCCTCGCCCCATGCGGCCGGAGCTCCGCACCGAGCGGCAGCCGGCCCTGCAGACAGGTTGTGCACTTCCAGCCCCAGACATGCTCGCGCCGTCAAGCAAAAATCAGGACGGCAATTGTTTTTTTACAATTTTCGGCTTCTGGGGGCCCTCGCCGGGCCCCGGGACCGTCATGAAACGACTCGGGATGAAAACCGGTCCAAGGGAAAGGGTCGGGACTTCCTGGGACGCCGTCCTGAAAAAATCAGGACGCCGCATGTCTGGGGCATGAACAGGTGCGGCTGCCCCATGTGCACAAGCGCAGCTCGCCTTTCTCGACGGCCAGGCCGCAGGACCTGCAGGCGGCCGGTCGCGCCGAGGAGTCATGCACGTCAACCGCCCAGACCGCTGCCCGAAACTGGGATGCTGACCGGGCGCTCGCATCCACCTCCATTGTGCCCTCCTGCTCCTCCCCGTCCGGGTCCTAGCGTCGCTGGCCGCTGAGGAGGAGGAGGAGGAGGAGGAGGAGGAGGAGGAGGAGGAGGAGGAGGAGGAGGAGGAGGAGAACGAGGAGGATGGAGGAGGAGGAGGGGGTGGGAAGGGCGCCGCGGACGGCCGCCATGTGTTGGTCACGGCTGCCGCCACCTGCTGCACTCGTGCCTAATTGAGTCACCGCCGTCAGCCACCCCTCCCCTTCCACTCTCTTGTGAATTATCATGATTGTCCTGCTTCTTCCCTTCTCCTCTCTCCTGTCTGTCGTGTCTGTGATTTACCCTCAAATATACCGTCACAGCCAGTCACACAGTGACCTGGCTGTTTAGTTTGATCCCCCCTCCAGGGCCGACCGGCCCTGGGGGAGGGAGGCTTGGTCAGCACGATCATGCAGCCACAAGGAACCAGGAACTAGGAATTATGAAGGAGAGAGAGGAGGAGGAGGAGGAGGAGGAGGAGGAGGAGGAGGAGGAGGAGGAGGAGGAGGAGGAGGAGGAGGAGGAATAATAATTATAATTGTACGAATCATAATAAGACGAATAATGCGAACAATGATAATACTACTCATAAGAAGAAACATACTAATAATTACAATGATAATAATGAGACGACTAATGCTACTACTAAAAGTAAGACTACTACGAATAATAAGAATACAAATGAGCATACTACTAATAATCGGAATATTCTTACTAATACATAAAATAATGAGAATAATACTACGAATAAGAAGAAGGCTCAGACTACTGCTAATACGAAGAAGAATAATAGTACTAAGCCGAATCATAATACTACTAATACGAAGATGAATAATACGAAGAGGAACACAATAATACAAACAATAATAACAACACTAATAATGATAATTCTAATGATAATACTAATACGAAGAAGGATAATACTGATGATACTACTAAGAAGAAGGAGGCTAACAAGAAGACGAATAGTAATGATACTAATACTAATAATAATCATGATGACGATAATAGTAATAAGGATGCGACTACTAATATTAATACGAATACTACTATTAATAGTACTACTACTTGTAATAATAATACGAACCATACTAATACTACTGCTACTACTAATAATAATAATACCAACACGGATAATACTAATAATAATAATACTAATACTATTAGTATTAATAATAATAATAATACACATAATAATAATATTGATAATAATAATGATAATAACAATAGTAATACTTCTTAATAACAATAGTAACGCTACGACTATTAGTACTACGACTTATACTAATACTGATACTACTAATACTACTCATAATAATCATGCTACTATTAATGCTAATAGTAATAATACGGAGAGGACTAATAGTAGTAATAATCATATTAAGAATACTAAGCAGACTATGCATAGTAAGAAAACTAAGAATAATAAGAGGAGGAGGAGGAGGCGGAGGAGGAGGACAAGGAGAGGGACGGAGGGAGGGAGGGAGGAGGGAGGGAGGGGGAAGGTGAGGGGAGGAAGTTAGAGAGGGAGGAGTGGAGGAGGAGGGTGAAGGGAGGAGGAAGGAAGGAGGAGAGAGGAGGAGGAGAGGAAGGGAGGAGGGGTACGGAGGAGGTGAGGAGGAGAGGATGAGGATGGGGAGGGCGGAGTGAAGGGAGGGAGTAGGGAGGGAGGAGGGAGGAGGAGATGGGGGATAGGGAGGGGAAAGGAGACTGGGGATGGGGGAGGGGAGGAAGGGAGGAGGGAGGAGGGAGGAGGGAGGAAGGAGGAGAGAGGAGGGAGGATGAGGATGAGGACGAGGAGGGATGATGAAGCAGCCAGGCTCCCCGCCGCGCGCGACGCCGCGCCGCCGGCCCTCTGGGGGCCCCTCCGCGGCAGCGACGCGGCCTCGAGGACACGATGCGGCGGCCTCGCCCCGCCCCCAGAGGTCAGGGGAGGGCGGGCCAAGACATCGGCTGCCCTCCTCCTCCTCTTCCTCCTCCTCCTCCTCCTCCTCCTCCGTTCCTCCTCTTCCTCCTCTTCCTCTCCTTCTCCTGCCCCTCCTCCACTTCTTCTCATCTCCACCTCCTCCTGCTCCTGCTCCTCCTCCTCCTCCTCCTCCTCCTCCTCCTCCTCCTCCTCCTCCTCCCCCTTCTCCCCCTCTCCCCCTCCCTCCCTCCCTCCCGTTCTCTTTCCCTCCGTGTCTCCCTTATTGCCCCGTCCAGGGGTCGAAGCGAGGCCGTCGAAGGATGCTGGGCGGCACCACGGTTGGGGCCATGCTGGCCGCCGACGCCGCGGACCTGGAGGTGCTCTGTGGCGAGGAGGCTCGGGAGGATCGGCGGCGCGGCCCACGGGGGGGAAGGCAGAGGGGGTGGGCCTTCTTAGAAGGCTATCCTCCTCCTCCTCCTCCTCCTCCTCCTCCTCCTTCTCCTTCTTCTCCTCCTCCTCCTCTTCATTATTTTTCCTTATAACTATTTTCTCCCTGTCGCACCCCGCGGCCAGTTTTGAGGGCGGGCCGGGCGTTTCGCCTGAGGGTTCCTCACCATTTGTGATTCTGAAGCTTATAAGACTTGGCAACAGCTTCACAGATGGAGGGCGGGTCGTTTTCAGAATGTGGCTCTCGCATTAGCGCGGCGCACATTCGTTTCAACAATTCCAAGAGCTTCACGGATTGAGAGCGGGTCGTTTTCAATATGTGGCTCCCGCCTTAGCGCGGCGCACATTCGTTTTAAAGCATCGCAGGAGTTTCACGGATTGAGGGCGGGTCGTTTTCAAAATGTGGCTGTCGCCATAGCGCAGCGCACATTCGTTTCAAATATTGTGAAGGCCTTACGGCCGGTGCCGCCGACCCTGAAGATTTTGGCCGTCGATGGCGACGGGATGTGTGATCACAGGAAGGAGCTAAATGACAACGTGACAGGGTAGGCGGAGGAAGTGTGTGAGGAGGAGGAGGAGGAGGAGGAGGAGGAGGAGGAGGAGGAGGAGGAGGAGGAGGAGGAGGA